TTTCACATTGTGCATTCTGATGTGTGGGGCCCTGTTACTTTACCTTCTGAGAGTGGCTACAAGTACTTCATTACCTTCATTGACGATTATTCCAGATACACTTGGGTATATCCAATGCGAACCCGTGAGGAAGTACCAAAAATTATTCAAGATTTTCAGCGGATGGTCTTCACCCAATTTCAAACCGAAATCCAAATATTTCAATCAGACAATGCAAAAGAATTTTTTCATAGTGACCACACGGAGTTCTTTGCTTCACATGGCTCACTTCATCGGAGCTCTTGTGCCCGCACACCACAACAAAATGGTGTGGCTGAACGGAAGAACCGACACCTTCTTGAAGTGGCACGAGGTTTACTACTCCACATGAATGTTCCCAAATGATTTTGGCTTGAGGCTGCCCTTTGTTCTACATACCTCATTAACTGGATGCCCTCTCGTTGGTTAGAGTACAAAGCCCCACATCAGCTTCTCTTTCCTAAGGCCCCTCTTCTTTCTATTCCTTCTCATGTTTTTGGTTGTCGGTGCTTTGTCCAAAACCTATCTCCCACCCAGGGGAAATTGGACTATCGTGCTATCCCATGCATATTTCTTGGCTACTCATTCTCTCAGAAAGGGTATCGTTGCTTTGATCCTGTTTCTCAGAAATTCTATGTTTCCATGGATGTTACCTTTTTTGAGGATGAGCCCTTCTTTCCTGTTTCTCCTCAGGGGGAGTGTAGGCATGAGGAGAAACTGGTTCCACTGCCTCCTTTTCCTACTCCTTCTCCTTCTCCCCCTTCTCCTTCTGATCCTCCACCTTTCCGTGTTTTTTCTCGTCGTCGTAAAAGCCAACCAGGTTCAAGTGCTGTGGAGAATCCAGAAGCCGTACCTCAAATGCCATCAAATTCCTTGGGGGAAGGTCATACTCACTCAGGTAACTTGACTCCCAGCCTCCCTGTTACTAATGATCTTGACCTTCCCATTGCCCACAGGAAAGGTGTTAGGTCGTGCACCACTAAACACTCCATTTCCAACTTTGTTTCCTATGAGAAAATCCCTCATTCATTTCGTGCTTTTCTTACCTCCATTGACAATATCCCTATTCCCAAGAATGTGGCAGAAGCTCTCTCAGTACCAGAATGGACGAAGGCCATGAAGGAAGAAATAAATGCTCTTCATAAGAATGGCACGTGGGAACTTGTTGATCTCCCTAAGGGAAAGGATCCAGTTGGATGTAAATGGGTGTTCACTGTTAAGCACGGGGTTGATGGAACCGTGGAGAGGTATAAAGCTCGTTTAGTGGCAAAGGATTTTACTCAAGTGTATGGGGTTGATTATGCTGAAACCTTTGCCCCTGTTGCCAAAATGAACTCTATTAGAGTCCTTTTTTCTCTTGTTGCCAATCTGAATTGGGATTTACATCAGCTTGACATCAAGAATGCCTTATTGAATGGTGCCCTTGAAGAGGAAGTTTATATGGTTCAACCCCCCGGTTTTTTGGCTCAAGGAAGTGAGCAAAAGGTGTGCAAGTTGAAGAAGTCTTTATATGGGCTGAAGCAATCTCCAAGAGCTTGGTTTAGCAGATTTCATACTGCAGTTCAGCAGAGGGGATACAAGCAATGTCAGCCAGATCACACACTGTTTGTAAAAAGAGTAGAAGGTAAAATGGCTGCCCTAATAGTATATGTGGATGACATAATTGTTACTGGTGACTGGAATGATGAAATTCAAAGTTTGAAGGACTTCCTTGCCACTCAGTTCGAAGTGAAAGATCTAGGACCCGCAAAATACTTCCTTGGAATTGAGGTTGCCCGATCAAAAAAGGGTATCTTCATCTCCCAAAGGAAATGTCCTAGATTTGCTTAAGGACACTGTAAAGATTGGGGCTAAACCAGCTGACTCTCCCATTGACCCCATCAACAAGTTAAGTGACAGCCAAGGTGAACCTCTTAAGGGTGTGAAGCAATTTCAGAGGCTTGTAGGGAGACTATTGTACCTCTTTATGATTCGTCCAGACATAGCATATGCTGTTGGTGTCCTCAGCCAGTTCATGCATGCACCTAGGTCCACTCATCTTGAAGCARCGGAGAGAATACTGCGGTATCTTAAGAAGTTCTCGGGTGCTGGCTTATTATTCCAGAAACATGGACATTTGAGAGTTGAAATTTACACAGAAGCGGATTGGGCTGGATTTCAAAGTGACAGAAGGTCTACTAGTGGTTACTGCACCTTTGTAGGAGGGAACCTTGTTACATGGAGGACTAAGAAGCAAACCGTGGTAGCTAGATCCAGTGCTGAAGCTGAGTACCGTGCAATGGCACACGGAGTAACCGAAAGTATGTGGATAAGGAATTTATTGGGAGAGTTGGGTTTTCCAGTTGGTAAACCCATGACTCTGCTTTGTGACTACAAAGTAGCTATAAGTATCGCTGCTAACCCGGTACTACATGATAGAACAAAGCACATTGAAGTTGACAAGCAYTTTATCAGAGAGAAAATCATCACAGGCGAAGTATGCACTCCATACATCAGCTCTGAAGACCAACTAGGAAGCATCTTTACTAAAGGGCTAAACCATTCCAGACACCAAGGTCTCTGTGACAAGTTGGGCATGATTGATATCTATGCCCCAACTTGAGGGGGAGTGTTGACAGGTGTATTATATGTACTGTACACAGGTTTAGTACCTGGAGGGGTATTTTTGTAATTTTACAGTCTCATTGTGTTGTACGGCCAGTATAGTATAAATACAATGCTTCACTCGACTAAAGCATAATTTTTGAGACCTCAACTCAGTTGCCTCTTCTTTCTTCTTCTTCTTCTTCCTTCTTTCTTCATCTCCTTCTTCTCCTGCTCAACAGCCCACCTTCTTTGTTCAGTGTCATATTCATTTACATTATGAGCTCTTAAATCATTTCATTCTAATTCAATCCATGCCCTTTTGGTCTCCCTTTATCTCTTCTAACTCCTCTCCTTCAACTTGTAAGAAATCACTTCTTATGGGTGCTGTAGATGGTCTTTTCTGTAAGTGACCATATCATCTTATTCTACTTTCCCTCATTTTATCACCTATTGGAGCTATTCTTAATTGGGAGAGAGGATCAAAATAGCTTTTCTATCTTCCCTTGATTTTCTCTTCTTTTGTTGATCTTCCTCTTTGATGCATCTAACATGATTTAAATCTCTGCCATTTATTTTTTTCTCATATTTTCTAGTTCATAGATTCTTTTTTCTCCTTTGTTAGTGCCTAGTTTATGATAAAGTTCGTCATGTCTGAAATTTTACGTTTACTCACTTCCTTTTAAATTTAGCTTCACAATTTCTACATTTTGACATGCTTGGTTTACTTTGGTTTTATCAACTTTGCAGTCCTTACACATCTCTAGTTTTTACATGCAGTTGTGCGCAGTTTTTTTTTTGGATTATTGTTTTTTTCCCTCCAAAATCAGTCTCAATAGTTTATAATCATCATCATCATCTAGCAAAATTAGTCTCAATATTTTGTGATTCTATTATTTTGGAAGAGGAGTTATTCAAGATTTGCTTTTCAACAGATTGCAGGTGGGAAATAACAGCTTACTTCCGTTCTCTGCCTCAAGCTAGCTCAAGCAAGGAAGCAGAATCGTGGATTCCAACAGACACAAAACAATGGCAACAGCCTCCACTAATAAGCCCAATCAAGTCGATGACCAGTGAACCTCTGACTCTGCAATTATATGTAGAGCATCCAAGTTTGTCTGAACCAACAACTCAGTAGAATATGGGACCTAGCAAACGGAACTTGGATATTATCATTATTCATGTAAAATACCAAACTGGCATGTAACTGTCAAGAACTATTTTTGGTTCCAAGGTGTATTTTAGCCAACATAAAAAACTAATATGATGTCAAAAGGAGAGAAGAAAAACAAAGAGCTCAATATGATTCAATATAGATTTGAAGAGAGTTTCTACTTCTGTATTTTATATTGGCCTTCTAAGAATCAGCCAAGCATTATAGATTCCCACTGAAACTTAGATTGTTTGGCCATATTATGGTCATCTTACCCAAAATTTTACTTTATCAATGACTCAAGTGAGAAGTTTCTAGTTATAAAAGCATGGAATGAAGAGATTCCCGGCATCTTAAGGAAGGTCTCTATGGTCCAAATTATGTGAATCACATTCTGTCATACATATGTCATAGTTATTTTCTCTGGAGGTAAATGTTTTGTCAGCATTTATTCATTGGATTCTTCTGTAAAATCTGATACAGGTATAGACCATATTTAGAGTAATCATATGGCTAGTAGATTTATATCATGGACTTCCTGGATTGGGCACATTGAAATGCCCCTTTCAATTGTCTGCCAGTGGAAGGATTGTGCTGTCTACTTTGAATTATGACAGACTCAAGAATACTACTGATAATAGTGCCATTTGGTTGATCTCGTTTTCATCTACCTCTGCTCTGGAGGTTTAATTCTGATTTGATGAAAGACTGGTTGTATTATCGTTTAGTTTAGATCTTAACCAGTGATCTATTCAATTTTCCGATCGGTAGTTGTTGTGTTGCATTAAGAGGTGTGGTTGTTTTAGCTGGTAGATGAACATCATCGGAGTCGGAGAAGGCAACCGATCCGAACTCTTCAGTAGACAGGGATCTACCTATTAGCAGATAGAGTGAAACAAAAAACAGAAAGCAATACGTCAGTTTAAAAAATAATAATAAAAAAACTATTGTAAGAAAGAATTAATAAAAAGGAGAAGGGAGAAACGTTTAGAGGAGATTAAGACCCTTTACATATTCGGGTTTTAGTTTGATAGGTAGGATACTTTGTCAAAAGGGAAAGCATTAAATATATGTATGTATGAATGTATGTATAAAGTAATAAATAATATAATAAAAAAAGTAAAAAAAATATTATTAAAAATTGAAAAAAGAAATATAAATATATGTTATGTTATTCTACTTGATTAATTGTATTGTGATTGTTTGGGATCACTATGTGGGCCCCACTTTTGGACCCGCGCCTAACCCCTTCCCTCTCTCATCTGAGACCTACCCAGATTGGTTTAACTGGTGCCTTGGGCTAGTAGAGTCACTATTGAACCAAAACAATTTTGATATCATTCTTGGGGGTCTCATCACTTCAATTTCCTAATCTGATGGGTGGTGTGACTCCATTTAGAGCTCAAGTGGCAAATGAGCCAGTTTTTCCGATACTCAGCTATCTCTGGTTTTTTCAGCCACCCAATTACCACTTTAGAGTCTCCTTCTATGACCAAATTTTTGAGGTTTATCTCTTTAGCGATTTGAGCGCCCTGTAAAACAGCTTGGACCTCTGCACTAAGTACTAACCACATTCCCAACTCCAATTGTACCAAAGAATAAAGCCACTATCCGGTCCCCTACATTTCTGAATACTCCCCCAATCCTAAAAGGCTCAGAATTACTAAGGCTGCTGCCATCAAAGTTTAGTTTTTGAAACTTTCTTCTGGGGGCTTCCGGTCTATAACAGATTTGTCCTTGATCGAAGAAGCTTTAACAACTAGTTCCCTGTTTCTCCATATGTCATCAAAGGAGAAAGTGAAAATAGATCAAAAGCTTTAGCTTAATTAATACCCCTAAACAACAGACATTCCCACACAGAGTCCTCATCCCTTTCTTTATCATTAAATATTATATTATTTCTTTCCTCTCAAACTGTCCAAACTAAAGTAGCCCTAATACAACTCCATAAGACTTTTCCCCTTTTCTTAGGCCACCTGAAAGTTGTAGGGTCGAAAAGCCCCCCAATTTGCAAAGGCATCCTCTGCCTACACCCCAAAAAGACCATAAATATTTTTCCAAAGTTTTACAAAAAAATGGCAAGATATTAGAAGATGGTAACAACTCTCTCCATTTTCTTTGCAAAGGAAACACCAACTTGGGGAGATACAAGGGTTGGGTCTTTTCTTTTGTAAGTCATCCAAGGTGTTTAATTTCCCAAGGGAAACTTCCCAACAAAGAGCTCTGACCTAAGGGGGGATGAGTTTAGACCAGATTTCCTTACAAAAGAAAGGTTGAGGGTTAGGGATAGAACACAACTAAAAGAAAAAAGAGGCACAAGAAAAAGACCCTCGAGAGTTGGGAGTCCAAATTCTAGCATCAGGTTTAGAGAAGTGCAAACAAACATTGTCAAGGGTTTTGTGCAACAAAGTAGCTTGATCAAGCTTAGAGTCTCTCAAGTCTCTTATGAACCCCAAATTCCAACTAAAACCCAGGGATTGGGAGAAAGAGACAAACCGTTGAATAGGTTCATTTTTAAAAAGGGGATAGGGAATACAAAGCTGGAAAAAGGTCCTTAAGAATGGAGTTACCGATCCAGGTGTCTTCCCAAAAAAGAACTGTCTCCAGTACACACGTCATACTTGATGATGTTGAGGAATTGGGGAAGGATATTGTGAATATCCTTCCATGGAGAGTCCAAAATAGCCTGCCGAGACACTAGCATCCCAACCTCTAGGTGCACATCCATGAATACTTCATACAACACCTTCTCTCTAAAGGCCATCTCCAATCCCCAAATCCCCTTGCTCCTTACTTTTCCATACTATATCCCATATCACTAGGTGAACTTTTCTTCCTTCTCCTAGCTCCCATAAGAATTCTCTCATGATCTTGTTTACTTTTGGCACCTCTCTATGTGGCATCTTAAAGACCGAAAGGAAGAAAACTGGAAGGTTTGCTAAGGTTGACTTAATTAGGGTAATATATCTCCCTAGAGACACAATTCCTCTTCCAAGTTGATAATTTCTTGGCACATTTTTCAATGATTGGACTTCAAAATCTTCCTTCCTGAGGGTTGGCTCCTAAAGTTTTACCTACATATTTCAATGGGCAACTAGTAATAGGACAGCCTAGGGTCTTTGCTACCCCAATCATCTCCTCCTCCTCCAAGCTAAACCCCACTATGCAGCTCTTTTCAAAATTGATCTTCAATTTAGAGATAAATTCAAACAATTTTATCACTTGCTTCAAATTGCTTGCCTTTTGAGGATCATCATTCTCACAAAAAATAATTGTATTATCGGCAAATTGTAAATGTGTAACAACTATGTTCTCTCCCCCAACCCTCCAACCCTTAATGAGTCCCAAGCTATGAGCTCTAGAGATAAGACAACTAAACACCTCTGCCACTAAGGTAATCTCCAAATTTTTTAAAAACCGCAAGTATTTAGCGTTTCAGAGATCCAAAGATATATATTGATACTTTGAACTTTGCTAATAGGGTATTCCACTATAATGGATTCCCCAAGAACATAGAAACTTAAGCCATTTTCATTTGTTCATATTAGTTGTGGTTTACCATTTTTTTTTATAGTTGTGGTTTTCTTACGAGGCGTGTAGGTATTATATAGGGATTACAGTTACAATGGTTTTGCATTCTTAATTCTGTTTGAACATAGAGTTATTGCAATGGAACACTGTAGAGTAGAGAAGACTGGTAATGGGATGCAAAATGTTCTAAAATATTTGATATTCTTTCTTACTGTGTTGTATGTTTTATAAATTAATAATGTTCGAATGCATATGGCATCTGCAAAACTTTCAAGCAGCTATATTTTGGCATCACTATGGCAACTGCTGCTATAATCTCACTAATGAAATCGTACTTTATTTTCTATTGCTTCAGAGTGGTCTTCCATTTTCTCATCCTGTTTCAGTTCTTTTCTGAGCCTGATCATAAGAAATTCAATTTGCAGATCAAACATCCATGTGAAGTTATACCTCCAGCTCTTGGAGCATCAATATATGCAATTGCCTGCATTGTCTTATGACGGGCTATCTGGGATCTCACTACCCTTGGAATCTGTTGATGCATTGACATCAATGGTCAATGCTGCAGGGATCAACAATTCAGCAGCCGGTGAAGATTCCAAATCAGCAATATCAGGGGGGAGGAGAGTAGTTGGGCAAACATTAGCAATCAAATAATTATCTGAGGCAGCTAATGAATGATGACATAGGTTACGATGTACGCCATAATTCTCCTTCAGGTTATCACAAATCAAGAAAACCAATATCTAATGGTGGACATTTGAGTGGCTCTTCAGCCCAAATCAGGTCACCATCATTGCCATTTGTACCCATACATGGGAGTCAGAGACCACAAGTTCAAGGTCTGAGTGGACATGGGTCAGGCAGGCAAGGATCATCTGGCCCAAGAAGTGGATGATATAAACGACATCGTGGCAGTGGGACCCGATAAGAAAATTGGGTGGAGGGGTAAATATTGTAGATGGAAGATAAGCAAGAGCTGACTGGTTTTTGTTGTCCCAAAGCAGTTCCATAGAAATTAACAGATAGTAGGAAGGGTGCCTAAGTGTAATAGGCAGCCATCCATCTTTTTTGAACACTAACACAATGCAAAAAGTCCAAACATTGAACGTTACTAGAAAAAAAAGGGAAATTCTTTCCATCTTTTCTTTTCTTTTTTGAACTAGCCTTATGTTTTCAAACAATGCATCAATTCGTCTACTGTGTTCTGGTGCAACTCTCCACTGTACTACCTAACTATGATATGCTGAATCATCATAACAAGTTAATTCTAGAGGTTTTCAATTAATGGGCATCAAGAACTCGCTGTTTGATTTTTCAATTGACTACGGCCTTCCATTACATGGACGCAGATTATTACACTTAACAACTTTCTGTCCTGAATTAGAACCGTGGGAACTCACCAGCCATACAAAGAGTAGAGTAGAATGTGTTATGGGCTAGGGTTGTTTTGCTAGCTTGTTTGAGCTCTCCTTTAGTTATCTATTCCACCGCAATGACTGAAGTCATGCTAAGCTTAATATGGTATGGCTCATTCGGTTTAGGTTGAATTAGACAATTAGACCCACCGTGACTGGATTCTTCAGATTATTGTGCTTTTAAATGAAATGATGTAAACCGCAAAGAGGATACGTTTTCAAGCATGAACCAACGATGAAGGGGCGCCTCAGCTTCGTCATTTCATAACATTACATAGAGCGAGAGTACTGTTGGAACAACAGTTATTTGGGCGGACCATAAGACCCACATTTCCGATTAATTCTCTTGAGCAATGGACCAGATTGTAGTTCGATGGTGAATTTGGGCCCCTCACCACCAACGAAATC